TGTCTCTCATGAATAAATAAATAAATTCTTTAAAAAAAAAAAAAAAAGTTTATGCAATACGTGAACTCTTTATGTCACTTGTACCCCAGGGCATGAGAAAGAAGAAAAAGAAGCATGCCTTAATGCATCTATTAGGATCATCTCGAAAGTCCACCAAACACCAGGCTTCATACCCACTTTAAAAATGTTCTTTTCCTCTTCATCTTCAGTTTCCTTAACATCTTCAGCTCCTGCTTCGATTGCCAGCTCCAGGGCACGCTCTAGGTTCACAGCTTTCTTCTCTCTGTCCTCCACTCCAACCACGATCACCCCCTTTTTGTCAAAAAAGTGGCGAGCTCCATCAGCCATCATTCCCCTCAAAGGAAAGGAAACACACCAGACTGAATGCCTGTAGACACTCAGCCCCCATATAGCACCGCATTCTAATCACTCTATTTCTCACCCAGACTTTGGAATATAGACATACATACTTCTGAAGGGGAATATGCAGCTACCACCAGGCAAGGGAAAAATCCAAACATATCTCCATCCCCTTCTTTCTGCCCTGATTGCAGTTTAGTGGATGCAAAGACGTTGCTCATCATTTAAGATTCCAGTCTTGGTGCTACATTGTAAGACCTGGACATCATATGGCTATAGAAGGGAAAAATGGGACAAAGGGCCCCTTCTCCACCTGATGAACAAGTCTTCTGGGTTCTGCCTAGTACAGAACGAATTAAGGGAGAATAAATGATCCCACTTGGATTCTGCTAAGGATGAAGTATGCTTAAAACCTGAAACATGACCAGGAACAAATGTACTTTCCTTGCAAAGAATTGGAACCTCAAGTCTTCATACCCTTCCACTCTCCCCAGACCTACACCTACCCATTCTTGTTCAGGATATGTCTGATGTCTGAATAGCACTTGGAGCCACTGTTAGATAATGCCTCAATGAGCAAAGAAGAGCCACCAGGGCCTCGGCCCTCATACAGCAAATAAACATCCTTGGTTTTCTGCAATAAACAACATGAGCACATTTTCCTGTTTCCCAATTCCCTCTTGCACCCCAGCCCAGAACACAGATACTGACTCCACAGGATGGGCACTCTGGGGTACAGCTTAGGGTCTCAAATCTTTACTGTCGCCCCCCCCACCTCTGAGAGGTGGCCCTTTGGGACCAACTTTTGAAGTAATTACAAGTACGACCCCTTACTGGGTGGGGAGTCTGTTTCTCTGGTCCCTGAACAACCAGTCATCTCCTAGTTTCATTTCCTCCTCCCAGCTGAATCCCACATCTAACACACACACCACCCCCCACACTCCTACCAAGACTCATCCTACACGCAACCCGCATGAAACCCACCTGTGAAGTCTCCCACCCCTGGGGTGCTGAGTATCACTTTAGGAAATAGCACACCTGGGCCCTATCATAAGAACCACTGAAAATAGCATGGCCACAAAATTCAAACAATTCATCAAAGGCCTAGTGACCAATCTCACTGGACCTCCCGTGCCGCCTCCACTCATCCCTTGCCCACACATCTGACCTTCACCACTCTCTCCCAGCACCGTTGCCTTTCCAGGAACTCTCAAATGACAATTTCTTCCTTCTTCTTTCACAAAGGAAATAAAGGACCAGCAAATGGAGAGAAATCCTCTACTTCTACTTTATCTGCACCAAAGCCCACATGAAGGCATGTGTATAATGGTTAGAGAACAGGTTCTAGTGTCTGTCTGGTTTCAAGTCTGTCATTTTCCATGGGACTTGGTCACCTAATCTTTCTGTGCCTCAGTTTCCACTTAAGGTTGTTTTGAGGATTCAGTGAGATAATGCATACAAAGTTCTTATCAAAGTGCTTGGCCTAGAGTAAGCACTCAATAATTATTAGCTATTAAGATGATTATCACTTCCTCAAATCCTTCCTACTGTCCTAGAGGAAGAGGTGTCCTCTCACTTGGGCTCAAAGACAATTCCCAATACTGGGCTCTAACCCTGCCCCTCCCACCATCACTAATGCCCCATCTCCCTTTCTACTGGCTTTTCTCCTTTAGGGCATAAATCCCTGAAAAACTCACCCTTCCTCAATCTAACATTCCCCACATTGTACCCCCTTCTTTCTACCTCACCTCCTCACACTTTAGCTGAGTAGTCCTAGGCCGTCTAGTTCTGTACATTGTCTACTCATCCTATTCCTGATTTTACTCCCATAACCAATGCCCAAGGTCAGAGAGCCACCAGAAGGCTCTGTATTGAGGGTATCAACCACAATGCTACCCGTCTCTCTGATAATCTAAGGCGTGTTGAGTGGCCTTCCAGACATGGGCCCTGGAGGGGCTGTGATCAAAACAAGAAGTCAAACTGAGGACACACCCCCATTTTCAGCGATGCCTCAATCGTTGACTTGGGCATGTGCTTGCTGCGACACACCTCTAAGACGTTGGCCAGACTGCTGTTGTGCTCAGGGTTAGGGCCTCCTTCTGAGAGAGAGAGAAAAGAGTGAGTGAACACATCTCATTACAGCCGGGGAGAAAGAAGGGATTTCTGCCATTCTACCCACCCCCAGTGAAAAGAGCAGCAAGTCACCACTTGGCTCTCAGTTAATTTAGAATATTTATTCAGTTTAAATGGAATATGGAAAAGTATTTTGGAAAAGAAGTTTCTAATTCACTCTTTAATGATGGGTATCTTTCTGCTACGTTTCAGCAAATACCACTTTGCATCAGATGAAGAGGTAAGGGATGAAAATGGTACCAACATTTCCTGGACTTATTAATACCCCTTGCTGTGACTCTACTATTTTGTGTGTAATTATTGAAATGCTCATATGACAGCATGTAATCATGCTGTCTCTCAGGGTAGGGGCTATACCTCATTATTCTGTATTACCAGTGCATATAACATACACTCAATAGTGTTGATCTCAATTATCAAGAATTTAGAAGGAAGCCAAGAGAAATATCAGGCATGAGTTCTAGGGGTAAATTAGTATTTACTGAGTGCCTATTATGTGCCAGAAACGACCACACGGAGGGTACTATCGAGTTTTACAGAAGGAAACTGAAACTCAGCAAGGTTAAGCAATTTGCTCAAGGTCATACAGTTAGTAAGTGACAGAAACCAAGTCTTCTTGACCCCAAAGTCCATGATTTTTACAGGACTTTTTTCTCCACTCCTACAGGTATCTGACACTAAATACAAAAACAGAAAGCCCTCTTGCAGTGGCTACACAATTGAAAAAGACAAGGTTGCAAACTTACCTTCCAGTAAATGTGTCTTCTTAAGGAAACCCTAATGAAGCAAACTGAGACTGGGCAAGTCATAGATTTACTCAATGCCCCTGCCACAACCTATGTGCTACCAGAGGGGACTAGAGGGCTTGATTTGTCTCTTCAGGCAAGATACACATGTGACCTTACTCTTAGGGTCTGTTTCCATGAAATACCCGGCTACACACTAGAATGAAGTCACTTTTATCATTATCGTCCTAAGAGCAACTCCCTGCCACGCAGGCCGATGCTCAGCATCTGGAAAGGTGAGCGGAGACATATAATGTAGGTAGGTGCCCTGAGCGTTTATGAAGTGGGAATTAGGAAAAGAATATGAAGGACCAAGGTTCGGGGTGGGCCCTGGTTTAGCTGTGGGCGCAGAGAGGGCAGCAGCGGGTGACTTACCTTTAACTGCCAGGCGGATGCTCAAACAGAGTTTGGAGAAGATGCGACTCCTTTCGGCGTCCTTGGGACCCTTGATATGCCGGACTTTGGACCACTTGTTGTGCCCGGCGGGGACCGCCGCGGTGAGGTGCAGCGTCCTGCCCAGAGTGGGGGTACAGCCCGTGGGCTCAGGCTGGGAAGCCGCGAGGGTGGGCGGAAGAGCCGCCTGTACCCCGGGGCCTCGCGCCCCCAGCAAGCACCGGGCAGCGACCCTGCTCAGGCTGACGGCGGCCCAAGCTGCCATCGGCTCCGACCCTGGACCAAGGTCAGCAAGAACAGCCAACGAGCAGCGGCCAAGGTCAGCAAGAACAGCCAACGAGCAGCGGCCAAGGTCAGCCCGTGGCGTCCGAGGCGTAAACGAGCAGGTCCTGAGCCTGCGGCCGCCTCTACCCGTCACCAGAGACCCAAATACTCAGACCAGCCCCGGGCAGCCCGGACGCGACCGTCCCAATACCAAACCCGCGGAAGCCGGGCGCGGGTGCCTTAGATAATGTAGCACACTTCCTTTCCCCCGTCCGTTCCAGAAACGCGCCCCCACCGCCCGAAAAATCCGTTCCGCCGCACGTTACTTTGCTCCTTTCTCGCACCTGTGCAGAGCCTGGGCCGAGGTGGGGGCGACTTTTATTAGAGTCCAACTCAAACTTTTAGCTTTAACTTATAGTTCACTTAGGACTTTATTATTGTCGTTGTTTATTATCCAAGCTACTTTGTGATGGGCTCGACACTCTCCTCCTTGTACTTTGCCATATTAGAAACATCAGATTGCTCTTGTACTTTTCCAAGTTCCTGTATTCAGCACAAACCTGGGTTTTTGCTGATCCTTGTTCCACTTCACTTCACCTCGCTAAATTTTTTCCTTCAAGATTCAGTTCGGACATCATTTTCCACCAAAAGAAAACATCCCCTAATTCTCCAGTTGCGCTCAGATGCCCTACTTTGTGCTCACATGATTCTTCATACTCGTCTGTACTTTAGCACTTACCTAAAAATGTTTGTCTCCGCCACAATATTAAATTCTTTGAGAGCAGGACGCGACCCCTGTGTCCAGCATAGTTGTTTTTTTGTTTAATAACAGCTTTATTGAAATAATTCACGTCATACAAGTCACCAATTTAAAGTGTATAATGGTTTTTAGTATATGTATTCAGAGATTTGAGTTACCATCACTATAATCAATTTTACATTTTAGTCACCCCAAAAAGAAACCCTGTATCCATTAGCAGTCATTCACCATTTCCCCCCAATTTTCTCAGTCTTAGGATACTACCAATTTACTTCTTCCTCTATGGGTCTGCCTATTCTGAACATTTCACGTGAATAGAATCATACAATATGTGGTCCTTTGTGACTGGCTTCTTTAGCATGGTTTTCAGGGTTCATTGATATAGCATGTATCAGTACTTCATCCCTCTTTTATTGCCAAATAATATCAATAATGCCATGAAGCTACAATGTTTTATTTATCCATTCATCAGTTGATGGACACTTGGATTGTTTCCACCTTTTGACTATTATAATATTGTCATGAACATTCAAATACAAGTTTTCGTATAGACATGTTTTTGTTCCTCTTGTATATACCTAGGAGTGGAATTGATGGGTTGTATAGTAACTCAGTTTAATCTTTTGAGGAACTGCCAGACTGTTTTCCAAAACAGTTGCATTATTTTATGTTCCCACTAGCAATGCATGAGGTTTCCACTTTTCTCCACATCCTTGCCAACACTTATCTCTTTTTGACTATAGCTGTTGCCACTAGTGGGTATAAAGTGATATCTCATTGTGCTTTTGATTTGTATTTCCCTCATGACTAATGATGTCAAAGATCTTTTCATGTGCTTACTAGCTATTCACATATAGTATTACTTTTTTGTCATTTAAAAATATAGTTTAATATGTAACTTTGAATAGCAAAAAGAAAATTAAGGGAATTTATAATCACAAATAAGCATGAAGGCCAAAGCAAAGTCTGAGATTGCCCTAGTCCAAGCAGCCTAAGTCTACCAGGGCAAAACTGTAGTTCAACAAAGTCAGGCTACAGACTCAGTCCAACGAGGAAAACTCCACACTGGAAGGATGGTGGGGTGTCTCACCAAAGGAAAAGATAATTATTATAGGATTGTGGGGAAAGGTGGAGGTTAGGTGAAATTTCAATGAAATAGAGTTTGATAGGCTCAACGGAACACAGAGCTGTATGAGAAGTGGGTCAACATCAGCTCTGGACTGCAAAGCAGACCGAGTTCAGTTTCTTTGCCAACTACAAAGCTAAATGGGGAGCGCCGTGTTCAGAAACACCTGCTCTGAAGTTCTATACCTGGGTTGGAAATCAAGGCTGCTTCTCTGTCAAGAGTGACTTAGATTCTCCAAGCAAGACTGTAAGTCTTCATTCTCCCTGACAGAATTTCAAACAGTCTCTGATATTAGAGAACAAAGTTTCTCAGTGAATTAAAAAAAAAGAAAAGCAGTCACTCAGAGAAGGGAATTTTATAACCCTTTAAGTTGCAGGTGTGCTTGGAAGAAATATCGCTTCCTGTTAACTTTGCAACTGGTTTTATGTGTCTATCTGTGATGAACAGCAGGGCAGAATTTTACTTTCTCAATCTAAGCTAATATTCAAGATAAATTCACAGATGACTGAACTGTCTCTAGAGCCTGGTTTTCAGGATCATTGAAATCATTAACAATGAGCTTGGTTGCTAATTTGATGGGTGTGGCAGAGACAGAACTATTTATCCGCCACTTTATTTCCTCTTCCTAGGCGTACAGGCAGATTTATCTTTCTTAAGTGTCCTTGCAGTTAGGTTGGAATCATGTGACTAAATTTGGCAGATATAGGCAAAACTATTCCTCTCATAGTTTCCCCTTCTAAGCAACCTTGGAGGCCACAAGTTCTGGATGATGTAGCTGACCAAACTCGAAAAGGACTTCACATAAGCCAAAAGTAAAATTTTGTTGTGTTCAGTCTCTGCGATGTGGGGGTTGGTTACTGCAGCTTAGCCCAGGCTAGCAAGATGAATACCGCCAGTATGACTCTCCCAGAGCTCCCCTTAAAATAGGAATCTCCTATTTCCCATACATGTTGTCGACCATATAGCACAGTTCTAACAGAGCCATCAGGTGCTCATTTTGCCACGTAGAGTCTAAACTCTTGGAAGTGGTCTTTTGTTTTTTAAGTAGGCTTCACACCCAACATGGGGCTTGAACTCACAGCCCTGAGATTAAGGGTTGCGTGTTCTACTGACTGAGCCAGCCAGGCGCCCCATAAACTTAGAGGACATACTTTTCCCCAGGCCTACTGCCACCCCCAGCTCAATGCTTCTGACACGATGGCAGTTACTTGCCGAATACTGGCTCACGGAATCAGTCACAATTTGCCCTTCTTCTTTTCCCTTGAAATGACTACATGTGAATCCAGAATGAAAATAAAAATAAACGGAGGGACTATTCAACCAGGACTTAGAGCATTTGAATAGCAGTGGGGATAGGCACTCCTCCATCTTACCACGTTGGGGCGTAGGCTGAGGAAACTGGCTTGGACTTGGAAACCCTAGCCAGTCATCAGAACCTGGTGTCCAAACACACAGGGTCTGGGAGTTATCATTTGTCACCCTTCAGAGCCAATAGTTTACTGCATCCTGACTACCCTGTCTCTTAAATCTCTTCAGTTATGCCCCATCCTCTCCTCCCCTCCTGCTCCTGCTTTAGGTCAGGCTTTTACTTCTTCTCATCCCGACTATTACAATAAGTGAACTGCCTCCCTGTTTCACCCCCTACTCAGGCGTTTTCTTCACTGACTCCTAAAGTGCAGTTCTGAGCATGACTTCCCTCTATGTGAGTTTTCCAAAGTCTCATACAAAAGACTCTGCCTGATCTGGCTCCTGCTTACCTCTCTAGTCACACTCCCCATCATTCATTTAAAACCCCACATCAACTTATAATTCTCTGAATATGGCCATATTCTTTCTTGCCTCTATAGTGTTGTACATGGATGTTCGCTCTGCTTTAAATATCTTTCCCTAATCCCAGACAACTACTCAGCCTTCAAAACTCAGCTTGAACATCCCTTGTCTTGTGAAGTTTTCCCTGACCTCCTCTGGCTCCTACCCAGACTTAGGGGATCAACTCCTCCTCAGGGCAACCAGTAAGCCTAAACACACCCGTATCGCACAACATTGCCAGGAATTGTTTATCTGGGAGACTGCAAGCAACTTGAGGGTCATGGCCCCTGGCACAGAATAGGTGCTCTGTGTTTTATTAAAAGGGATGACTCAGGCTGTCAGATAGTGAGATGGGCTGGGGTGGACTCTCATCCCCCAGCCAGTATCTCTGGAACATGACCACAGTGGCAGAATGGGAAGAACTGAATTCATCACAAGAAGAAATTCAGTCAATCTATACATGTTCAAGTTTTATTACAAAGTATGATGGGCAGAAAATATGGTACTTCTTATACAGGAGGCTGAAACAGAATGAAAGGGTGAAAATTAGGTTTAATATACTCAGGAAGCAAGAAATAAAGTCATAGATGTAACACTCCACTTTCAGGTGCCTTTGAAGTCGCCTTCAATGGAGATTTACCATTATGGTTTCACAGCACAGTGTTAACATTTTATTACAAGCCCTGTGTACAATCAGTCCTGTGATAATAATATTTTAAAAAGAAAAGTGGGTGATAGTACAGTTCCATAGGGGGTAGCTTCCTCTCCACCTGACCATGGGAGGTCACAAAACCTAGAGTATAGAGGAAAAGTTTAAATATATAACAAGAAATGAAGTTCAGACGTACTAGGCTAGAGGGAACAGACATTGATTGGCTAGAGCTTAACATCTCAGAGAACAAGGAATCTCCGTTTTCTACACAGAGGTTTGTACAATCATGCTACAAGTTCACACTCGGGGGAGGAGGGGGGGAAGTCACTGACAGGGTCATAAAATACACAGGAACCCAAGCAAGCGATTCATACTCAACTCAAGCGAGTCAAAGCTGTAGCTCAACAAGTCTCGTTGCACACTGGATTACCACAACCAACCCCAGGCGAGAGCACTTCTCTTAAACAGCAGACACCACAAGTCCATAGCCACTGGGTTGTCCTAAAGGTGGGTCCTTGTAAGTTTTCTAGCTGTTACAAAGACTGCCAACATCTTTCTTCTTGAGTTCATACTTTCACTAGCTTATTTGTTTCTGGTTTGATACACCAGCCCAAGCCTCTTTGGGAAGGCACCTGCATGTTTCCAAACTTAAAAAATAATATCCACAAAGTAGCCTGAGAGGACCGGGCCCGCACTGTGTAGCCACACCTTTAACTCAGCAGCAAAGACAACGGTGGGAGAAGAGGGTGCAGGTGAGAGAGGCGGGCAAGGCTCTGCAACAGGAGACGCTGGGGGCAGCTGGCCCAGCCAGTATGGAGAGCCTCGTCCAGGGCTCACAGTGATGGTCAGCTCAGCTCAGCTCTCCTCCC